GCGGATGTTGGCGTTAGATTCACTGAGCTGGGAATTTTGTTTACAGACGTTCCGTATCCACATTAGGCTAGGTAGAAATGCCAGTCCCTTCGTGTGACTGGGCTTATATAGTTTCGAGGCAGAGAGTAAAGTTTTCTTGGCAGAAGCTATTTGAGGCACTTGGTCGAACGGGAGCATTTCGTGTAGTACAAGGGAGGAGTGACCAGTCACAATTCAAGACAACCACTACTGAAGTTTTCGGAGGTAGAACTATCTTTGCAGTAAAAGCATCGATTACGTGTACAGTTAAATGGTGAATTCACATGTAACCTTCTTTCTACGAAGAATTTGGAATCCCAAACGTTACATTACGTGGTTAGATTCGGATGATGGGAGAAGTAGTCAACCTTTTTGTATCTAGAGCAGATGGTAAGCACGTTAATTCTGTGCTAGATATCCCAACCCCGTTCACTTTATCTCAGATTAAAAAAACAAGCTCGTTCGACCCTGTATTCATGCGTGACGTAGATCGACTGAATCGAACAAGACGGAATGAGTGAAGTGAGATTCATCTTGCATTATCAACTTGCCACATTTGATAATTATCACCGGTGCATATCAAACGAAGTTGTGATAGCTCTAACCAACTCGGATTGTGAGTCCCGCGTAATAACAGGCGCCTGCCTGAACTGGTTCTAAGTGTTGGTCCCATGTCTGCACTGTGATGAATGGCCCGTTTATCTCTTTTAGCACGTGTTGGGCTCACAACTCTGCCCGTCCACGTTTAAAGCCCCACAAGCTCTCGGTGGACATAAACTGGTGACCATTTCCAACAGCTCAAATGTTCAGTTTCAATTTGAACAATCATTAATCACACACTTTTCAGCGGCTGCTTTGGATGTTACTTTTTCCATCACGGTAAGACTGCACTTTGACTTGGTGTGATGGCTTGTGTGCCTCCATGACCCTGCGAGCTATACAGGATGGCTCCTCAAAGCCGCAGATTCTATCATGCCTGAAAGATCAATAGGTAGAGGTCAGACGAAGATCAGTCTAACAAGGCCAGCTGCTTGAGCACTTCCTGGATTCCTTCTTCTTTTCACACCTGCCCCTGGAGAGGTCACTCCAGCAAATAAACACGGCGAGGGGCAGTTTACCGGTCAAAACAACCCCGCTAGATGGACGAAGTAGTGGGGTAGCTGGGGCTTCCTTTCAACAGTGGGACAGCTACCGCTCGCCTAAGCTGGACAGCCAATAAGGTGCACTCCCGTTTACGTTCCGCTTGTCTCATTGGGTGCATGAGGCTATGGGCTGATCCCGAACAACGCAACAACGAACAACATAACTAATCGAAATGCAAAGGCCTAGTGTGACAGGTCTCTAGAAGCTACCACACGGATGCTTCCTTCACGTTCCCGCGTTGAATTTACGCCCCACTGCCTTGTGGGTCACGCTTTTGAGTCAAGGGTTCCAGTTTTGGTTCCCAAAAACACCCCTTCGTCGGTGTGGCCTGCCGCGAAGTATGTTGTGCCCTGAAATCTTAGGCACCCATTTGGAAATCCTTCCTTCCAATCTGTCTAGTTCTTCTTCTCAATCCTGAATAATCCCAAACGCCTGCTGTCGGATATCACTCGGCGCTTTACCAACAAGTCCAAACAATCAGAAGTTACAGGATTTTCGAAGCCGAAACTCCCTTTTCACTTTGCAGCGATTAATATCCGCAAGCTATCAGATTGGTCAAGACTGAACGCTCGCTTTTCGACTGCATTCCAATCAGTAGCCAACTGCGTGCCGTACGTCTCAACGGTTCAGCGAGGGTCAACAGCGACAGAACGAAGTGTTGATGCCTATTCGTCGTGTCGGTGTATGCACCGACCGATTGCAGTACACCTGAAATTCTCATTACGTCGTAAAAAACACCGACAACGCAAACCCACGATACAACGTCAGCGATTGTTGCAAATCAGACTTCGAAGCGGAACTCTTTTATCGCCTGTCAGTTCAACCACCAGCCGAAGGACTCAATGAACACTGAAAGCAAATCAAGGAAGCTATGCAAACATCAATAAGAACAAGTTGCTTTGCTGGACGCTCGTAGAACCCTTCCTCACGATGCCGCGTTTGACACAGCGCGCAAATCCTTCGAACGTCAGCTCATCAAGAGTCTGAGGAATGACTGCGAGAAGCGGTGGATAGGAATGTGTAGAGAGATGGAGAGGGCTGCAGCTATTGGTAATAGTCGTAATCTTCTCCGTCTAATTAGAAATAGAGGTTCAGGAAAACAGGCGTGAGGCCATTAAGGAACACGATGGCACACTGATTCACGATCAGAAACCCCGTCTTGATCGATGGACTAAACATTTCGAGGCTCAGTTCAACTGGCCTCCATCGACATCTGAACAATCACTGTCCACCTCGACTGGACAAATACTCTCAATTGATGCTAGCCCTCCATCTGAAATGGAGGTTTCCCGGGGAAATAAACTATCTCAAAAGGCATAAGGCTTCCCAACCCAGACAGACTCTTCCCATCCGTTTTTAAAGATGAAGGTTTGGCATTGGTTTCCGAGTCAATGAATGGTGTGAATCGGTCATCATACCGATTTACAAGAAAGGTGAAAGATCCTCTTGTGAAAATCATAGNAATTAGTTTAATCAACATCGTCTCTAAACTTCTCGCTGGCATCATACTCCGCCGATTGTCTGCCGCACGAGAACGGTGCACGCGTGAGAACCAGGCTGGTTTGAGACCCGGTCGAGGTTGTGTCGATCATATCTTCATTCTGCGCCAAATTCTGGAGCACCAGCACTCTTTTCGTAGACCCACCATCTCTGTCTTCCTAGATCTGAAAGCGGCTTTCGACTCAGTCGACCGCTCTAAACTCTGACGCTGCCTTTCTTTGAAATGTATGCCCGAGAAGTTAATTTCGATATAACGACCGCTTTATACTCATAGCCGAAGCCGAATCCGAGCTTACCGCAAATTTTCACCGGAGTTCACCACGGAAAGTGGTGTTCGACGGGGTTGCCCTCTCTCTCCTTTTCTGTTTAACTTTGTTATAGATTTGATTA